AGTAGTAGTAGTAGTAGTAGTAGTAGTAGTAGTAGTAGTAGTAGTAGTAGTGGTAGTGGTAGTAGTGGTAGTGGCCTGCACCCTAAGTAGCGACGGCCTCCAACCTACTTGCGATAGCCTCCGCCTAATAACGTCCTTGCTACTCACTTCATGCTCCCCGCGCTTGTGATTGACCTCATTGTTTGCCGCTGCTGCTGCTGCTGCTGATTTGCCGGCGCTGGCTTGTTGCTGGTGCTGCCCGGTGATGCTTATACCCACATTGATTGTACATAGGTAGTATGGCACCTGTCATCACCTGTCATTGTACCTGCACCATACAGTAACCATACACCACAAACACTCACCCTTCCGTACCGCCTCACATACCATCCACGCCCGTGGGTCTCAAACCGTAAAACTGAAAGAGTTGCCTAGATTGCTGATTTTGAGGCGTTATTGGGGGTCCGTGTATATAATATACTGTATGTATGCACCTTCTTTTTGCATCCTTCTTTGGCCGTAAAAGTCCGCGCATTGTAGGATCTCAACATGTCCTGCACACACTTTAGCAGTAAATTCCTTTCATTAGAAGACGCGTGATCATCAACAAGGTGGACCAACAGTAGAATCAAAATCCCACCCAGGAAAAATGGATAACCTGCAAAAAGTCAACTATGGTGCCCGGCGCCCCGTGTTTGTTCAACATTATACGCTTGAAACAAAACCGCCATCTGATATCGCATGAGGATATCAGTGGGCACCTGCATTCCAACGGGAAAAACACGTTTGCCAATGGGCGCCCTTACCGCGTCGTTCACGGACGCGGGACCCTCGCGGGCGAGGCGCTGCTCAATGAGGATCAAGCAGTAGAGATTTGTCATTCCTTGCTCCAGCGCCAGCCCACAAGATCAATAGGCGCGACTTCGATTCGATCATCGTCCGCGGTCGGCGGGACACATGCCCTACCCAGAGCATCCAGTTACCACTATAGCTGGCAACATGTTATTCCAAAGACTAGACCCATAGACCCAGAATCCCTGGTTCCTTATATAGTAGTGGTAACTTGGATCCACTGGGCTAGGGATCCGTTTTCGTAGCTTCTCAGGTACGGTGAGGGTTTCGAGGTGCTGTGATCTGGTCCAGTCGTTCCGAACCTGAGATTTGGTACGAAAACGAATGCCAGAGGATGGAGTTCGTTTTGCACCGCAGCTTTTTCAGGTTTCAGGACGACAACAGGAGGAGTTAGGAATTCATCATCATGGTGAAGTAGGCTGTTTTTATGTCACCTAGAACGCCGTCGGGTTGGCAGGAGAGTGAGAGAGGTTTTCTGTGCTTTGATGCGTTTGGATGTTTTTTGTGGGTTGTCACAGTTGTCTTTACATGGAACAACGGAAGGCTCACCGTTTGACCCATCAAAGCTCACTGGACTTCCGGGCTGGATGGGATCAGGCCAACCGCTGCGAAGCTGGGCCGACAGCGGCGCAAGCTCCGTAATCCAAAAATCGGGCTGGTCAGAGGTTGGCTGATTGGGTTGTGGACAGCCTTCTTCTAAAGCTCAAAGAGGTGAGATAACCTTGGCTTTGCAAATTTTGTCAGTGGACACACTGACAAGATGAACTGCATGTGTTTCCAAAAACCTTCAGTAGGTTAGGGGCTAGCCCAGCTTGTGCGAATATGTGATGCGCCATGTGATGCGTGCGCTCGCCGGGTGAGATTGCTGCAGAGCTTGGATGTCAGTCTGGCATCCTTTGATGCGAAAACATGCGAAAACAACTCTTACCGTATACGCTTACCCTCCAAGATTGGCGTTTCCTGGTGACACAATCCACTGGGATTGGTGGGGTCCCCAAAACAGCCCCGGGAGGGTGCTGGAATTCGGTGGTGGTTGTCTCAATCAGGCTCTTTGAGCTCTACAACCACGACCGCCATGAGAAGCTTTCGGTGGCGCCAGACGGGCGTGTCCCGGCCGAATGGTTTCTTCGGTCTTTTTGAGCGAGCTGAGTTTTGGTCAAGAGAAGGTTGAGAATGTATTTTTCTACTTGATATGATGTGAGATGACGCATTCTTGTATGGGTAAACATGTAAAATCAACATTTGCATGGGGGTAGTAATAACTACGTATCCTTTGGGCAGTTGAGGATCTCCTTGACGATTTTCAGTACGGGCTGCGAGAATTCCGCACTCAGCCTCTCGGCGCAAACCTTTTGGCCAAAAACACGGAGCTTCTTCATTCTTCCTCTACCAAACCCTTTTTGATGGGTAAGAGAAACCATCTGGAGACCCGCAAAATTTAAGAGCTGGACACCATTTCTTGGATTGATCGGCATGTTGGAGGTCGGAGGTCGAACCGACGCGTTTCTCAGGGTCCGAGCTACTGAAGCAGCCGATCTCCCGGTCCTCCCAAATGGGGTCCCACGGCAACCTCTCTGGGATGCCTGCTTCTGATGTGCTTATGCTCGAGCCTGATCTCTCCCATGTTGTTGGACCATGGCTCCCAAACAAACAGACAAACAGACAAACTCTATAAACAAAAAGCTCTGAAGGTTGCCCTGGACTCATCGATACGGAACCTCTTCCCAAAACCAGTCCTTGAACACACCTTTCTTCTCTTCATCAGAGTCGCATATGTTTTCAACTTTGGCCTCTGATTGGATGTCCTCGAAACCACCCTCGAACTGGGCCTGGCTCTCATTCATCATTTCCTCTCCCCCCGTTACCATCATATCCGCAACCGGAGGTGCAGCCCCTCCAGACTCATCGGGATGGAGATCATGTGAAGGCACGAACTGCTTTTTGGGTGACAACATGCAGTCTTCATCCGAGTCAATGACAAAGATTTCAGGCTTATGGCATTCGACTGCTTCGATGCACTCATCATGCCGATCTGGGAGGGTTTCTGAAAGTGAAAAACGTCGTCGTTTTTCTCTTGGCGGGATCGGATGGTCGACCCTGCTGGCGCTTTGGATGGGATCTATTTAAGAAGTTTAACTACAAAAAAGTAGCACTTAAAACGTTAAAACAGACAAAACATCTCACTGTCAACCTGCCCCTTTTTGCGGGTTCCTGTATGAGACATGACATGACTCTTCCAACAGTTGAAGAAACCCTTTTGAAGTTCCTGGGCCCCGGATCCTGGAGGTAACCCAGGTTACGGGTCCTGTCACATCAGGTCGCTAGCAACCTCTCGGACGGTGCACTGCCCCACCTCGACGTAAACAAAATTAGACAAACAATACTCCAGAAAAAAAAGCCCAAATAGTATGTCATTCCAACAACAACAAAGCCCTACCCTCAGAATCCAGGACTGGCTGGGCGCAGCCCTCCGGGGCATGGCACGTTCGGCGCCCTGTTGGGGGGTCGAAAGGACATGGAGATCGCTCTTGATTTCTCTTCTCCCCGGCTGGACCGTGTATTGTTCATTGGTGGACCATTGCAGCCAGGTGACCCCTTCAAACATGCTGGTGCTGTGGTTTTTCCTGTGTCAGTGTTGGGGTCCGGCTCCGTAATGTTGTGGTGTTTTGAAATGTCTTGCTACTGGACGTGTCCATCCACGGTACGGTGTTTTGTTTCGTGAAGATGAAACACCCTTGCACAACACGTTGCCTTTTCTCCCAGTCGCCTTTTCAAGCGGTCTTCCTTCCTAGGGCCCCCTCACCCTGGAGCTTTTCTTCGGAAGATATTATTGTATGTGGATTTGGGTCTTTCAGATACAGTGTGTTGTCTTTTTTGAGGAGAGGTTGGATGGCCCCGCTGTCTGCAGAGAGTGAGATGGCCCCCTTTTTGGAGAGTGTCCCATTCGTGCGAAGCTGCTGTGATCAGTGCTCCAACCATTCGCTGACCTCCGGAAGTCCCTCCTAAACCCGCTGGACGTCCATCCGGAATGATCAGGAGATGTTCGACGCACCGTGATGACGAGAAAAGGAAGGTGCGGTGCAAGACCCGGTCGTCAGGGCAGCTCGCTAAAGCAGCTGAGGGGGAAGAGCAAACAAGAGTGAAATGGTCTAGGAAGGTCGAGCAGAACTGCATTCCCTGGAATGATCAGCCGTGGAAAACCCGGGGTCAGAACCAGTGGGCTCCGACGTTCGGGATGTCGCCGGCGTGTTTCGCCGTGGTTTTGGGACTGCCCGCCATGCCTGAAAGACTGAGTGGGACTCTCCCTATGACATGACTCACCTCCAGCCCGGTCGTGCCAAGCAGGTCCCACCTCGACCTAAACAAAAGTAAACAAACAAACAAACAAACAATACCCCAGAAAAAATGCCCAAATAGTATGTCATTCCAACAACAACAACAACAATGCCCTACCCTCAGAATCCAGGCGCCAGTTTCGAGCGATTGGCTGGGCGCCGCCTTGCGGGGCATCCAACGTTCGGCGCCCTGTTGGGGGGTCGAAAGGACATGGAGATCGCTCTTGATTTCTCTTCTCCCCGGCTGGACCGTGTATTGTTCATTGGTGGACCATTGCAGCCAGGTGACCCCTTCAAACATGCTGGTGCTGTGGTTTTTCCTGTGTCAGTGTTGGGGTCCGGCTCCGTAATGTTGTGGTGTTTTGAAATGTCTTGCTACTGGATGTGTCCATCCTCAGTACGGTGTTTTGTTTCGTGAAGATGAAACGCCCTTGCGCAACACGGTGCCTTTTCTCCCAGTTGCCTTTTCAAGCGGTCTTCCTTCTAGGGCCCGCTCACCCTGGAGTTTTTCTTCGCCAATGTCCGTGGGCCCACTGCAAAAGGAATCCTCTAGGAGATCAACAAAATCCATGTTCCAGAATTTTCAGTGTACTTTTCAGGGTAAACATGACCAACGGATGTATGAATATCCTATGAAAACGAATCACCTACTTATTCAGTATATTTTTTGGTCATCCTTGGAACCCCCAAGATTACAGTCCATCTCTCAACACCAGTTCAGTCAAGGGAGGAAAGCCCCTGGCATTGGAGGGTTACTAGTCTAGTTCTAGCCCCGTTCGTAAAATCCTTGCTCCGTTCGAAGCGATGCCCTTAGTTCCGTTCGTAGCTTCTTCCTACTAAAGGTCTACGCTGACATCATTTCTTTCGAGTCTTTGAGCCTGAGGGAAAGGGCGGACCTTCATCCCAGGCGTCCGCCGCTCCACTCGTTGAGTTTGCTATCCCAAACACTCCTTTAAGAGCCTTACCTGGCAGCGGCATTGCGGGGCATGTTGCTGCGGCCAGGTCCGCCAAATCCGTTGCAGAGTATTTACGGGTAGTGGCAGAGTATTTACGGGAGTAGCTTTAGAATCTATGAGTCTATTAAAACTTAAAGAAGCCTGAAGCACCATTGAGAAGAGCATGTTGCGGGAGATTGGACCTTCATCCTCAGTTGGCCTCAACGCTGGGCCAGGAGACGGGCGGAGGCGCCGGGAGACGGGCAGACACACAGGGAAGTGGATGACATGGCCCCGGAAAGACCGTGAAGTCTGTAGAGTGGCTTAGGCCGGGCATGCTACCCCCAGTGTAGGACTGAGCGAGCCAGCTGCTTTTGCTTTCAATAATGACATGGACCTGGATATTGTTTGGGATTGGTGTTTGCATCTTCGGGATTCTAAAAAAGTTCAGGGCTCACCGACATGCAGAGGGGATGAATCTTGGATGGGTTGAAACTCCAGCAATGAGCGTTGTAGGTTTTCCCTGCCTTTCCGGTGATTTTGACTTGTTGGATCGATATTTGCAAACCGTTTTTTGAGAAGTCACGACAAGGGAAACGACGCATCATGCACCCATTGTCGCCAGCTTCAATGGAAAACGTTTTGAAAAGCACCAGCAGACCTGGGGGCAGCCATGCTGTTTTGCTAGCAAAAGGGTTGGTTTTCGTGGAAAGTCTCCCCTCCTTGCAAGTCGACAACATCCAAGTCAATATATGTCTCGCTTTAGAACCTGCTCCAATGGCTCCCGTTCGTTTGGTCTGGACACGAGGCACCAGGCATTCCATTGTTATACGTCGTGCTATTTTTCATGCTTTTTGTCTCTGCAGTTTTTTGTGGATTCACCCCCGAAAACACCTGGTCCCCACTCACCAGGCGCAGGCGCCCTTCCCCAACGGCCGGCCCAGAGATCCTGCGGGAGCCCCAGCGAGCCCGCTGGCCCGCGCGCGCGGGGCGCGGGCTGGGAGAGGCTAACGGGGGAGGCTGTGGAAATCAATGTTGTAGATCTATACTACCCGGAGATGACACAGGAGTAGTGAAAGATACATGCGGAGATGGGTCTTCCTATCTCACGTGTCCGCAGTTGCAATCTGACAGTTTTGGACTCCCCAACAAGTGTATCTCATATGTCCAAGCCCCAAGCCACATGAACGAGGCCCAAAAGGATTGTACCAATGCGCCCACCCATGTGGCAAAACAGGCCTTGTCCGCTGTTGCGGTCGATTGTTTTTGGGTGATGGAGCATGCTTTCATTTTCAAACGGAAGAGATTTGCTGATGTTGCATACCTTTTGGGTGTTGCTTCCATTTGATATCGGCTTGCCATGTGGTCGTAAATCGCATTTTCCACTTGAATATATAAATACATTGATATTTTCCAAAATACTGTCCCATACTAAATGATACTGGGTTTTTCCAACGGGCGCTCCCTGAAGGATTCCAAACCACCACACCTTCCACCCTCCAACTACCCTCATCCAGAAACACCCCATCTCTGCGCGCAGGGCCAGCTCCTGAGGAGCCACCCCGAGAAGAGGAGGCCGAAGAATAAACGTCATAAGTAGACTCAGTAACATTTTTAATGTATCACCTATATGCATATATAGTCTATGTCTATAAGAGTTTTATGGTACCTTGTTTATTCTTCGGCCTCTTCTTCCGACTTCGTCGAGAAGAAGGGGCGCGACGGGAAGAGGAGGTCGAACAGGAGACATAACTTTTAGACTCAGTACATCTTTTAGAATAGCAAAAGTTTGCCTATTCTTCGGCCTACTCTTCTCCCTTCAATGGATCGATTGATTGTTGAAACGATATGATAGTTAAGTAAGTTTGCTAACCGTTTGTAACATTTTACTTTTTACACCTGTTGTGCTTGATTGTTCCCAGCACGGCCCAGAAAAGCTTTGCCTTTTTTTCAATGGTTCTTTTGTTTTTGGGTCATGACAAGCACTTTTGGGTGATAGCTAGCGAAACACACTAACCATGATGAATGGATATGCCTAACCTGCTTTAACTCCATGATATTGTCACAGACAGTTCACTTCTTACACCATTGATGCTAACAAATAGCAGACCTTCCTCTTTGTGTTGATTGCAGTGATTGCAACCATGTACTAACAAGTACCTATCAAGTAACTACTTGGTGAACAGCGGTTTCATAAATGCGTCAAAACCAAAGACCTGTTATTAATCAACCGATCCATCGAAGTAGAATTCAGAGGGCGCCAGAATTCATGGCATGCGCGGATTAGGGGAAAAATGGTTATCAAGAAAGGGAAGGAACTGACTGTGGTTTGGTCAGTCACCAATCAAGTTGGTTTTGGTCTATTTCCCGAAGGCCCTGGCTGGGTAGACAAATGTCTATTTCCCGAACCGAAACTCCACAGATTCAGTGAAGCCGGGAGAACCACTGGTGACTACCTGCAATGCAGCCATTAGTATGAGGTGTCAACCGGTAACCTCACAGAACTGTCGACATCTTGCGGCCGGGTGTTGTGGTGTGTGACCGCGTGTGGGTTGAATTGGGCGTATCGCGCGTCGTGACGTTGGGGCTCTGACAGCATGTCCTCCAAGAAATTCCCTGGCCAGTCGCCTGGGGGCTGCAAGCGTGTTTCCTCAGTTCTTGTTGAGATAGGATGTGCTGAGAAAGCAGATGCACAATGACATGTTGCTTCCTTTTTGCCACGTATACTATATAGTTTGCCGTTGTTGGCGCACCTGAAACTGCAGATGGAGGTGAAGTCCCGCAGGGACCCTGTTCAGGAAACTCCTCTCCTTTACGCGCTGTCCTAGTCTCCATGTTACATGTTCCACCTTGATTCTTCAACTCTTCCACCCTTTGTGGGGTGCAAAAAGAGAACCCTTTGGTCCTTCGGTCCTTCGGGCCAACTCTCGGGTCCAGGGCGTGACGAGTTGTCGCAACGGAACCCGACCGCGCTGCTGGCCGAGTCGCGTAGCGGTCCAGTTTGGATTCCTTTGGACTTCGCGGTCCCGACTTCGCCCTCACAGGGTTCGAAGGAGATTCGCAGGATCCAACTCGCACATGTCCTTTTTTCGGTCGGGGGGGGTCACAAGGGGATTCAAAAGGAGATCCAACGACAGGCTGGGAGACCTCAGGAGATCGCGTTTTTGCGCCTCCGGTTCCAACACGGCTCAAGGCATCCAAATGCGAAGTGTTGAACCGGTGAGCCATGTCTGACCGGCACAGATGGTCTCTTCCGCAGAATGACAGAAAATTTTCCTTCTGATCAAACTGAAGTATGTCACGGCCTTTTCAGGCGAATTCAATAACAACTATAGAAACGGATGTTCACAACACGTTGGAGTCTCTTGTGGTCCTTTTTAAAAGTTCAGGTTTCTTGGCACATCCTAGCACCCTGCTCAAAGACTCCGAGCACCCTGAAGGGACAAAAGATAGGTCACCGTGCCACAACATCCACCACTGTTTTTCGCTTTTTCATAAACACCCATTGGCTAGATGGGGGGTCAATGGTTTGTTTCAGTTATTTATTTTTGCTTGTTCAAAGCAGGAGACTCAAACATCAAATCAATTGGTTTCAATCAACAACTGCAACGAACCCCAATGAGCACCCATGGCGCAGACTGCATTGGCAAGAGGCTTCGTTGTAGTGTCCCGTTGATGGTGAATTGGGGGTTGGGAACTGGGTGTGTTCTAGTATGTGTCGTTTCAGGTCAGCAATGGTGTTTTGCCAGAAGGTCTTCTGGAGTTTTGCTCTACAAACTGCAAAGTTTGGCGTCGATGTTGGACATCTCTCGAAATGTGACCGACCTACCAGTTGTTGTGTGTTTGGATGATGAAGGATACATTGATGGGGCACCAGCACCAGATTTCATTGAAACGGAAGAAGTTCCGCACCACACGTCTCCACGTCGAAAAATTGCATGGACCAACGGTGTCTCACCCAGTCCCTGGTGTCCACATCGATTCGCTGCTGTTTGACCTCTCCGTCTCCAGGCGTGCCACTGGGGCTCGTGCCCTCGCCCTGGCTGGCTTGAAGCCAAGCCAGGGGTCTATCGAGTGGAGAATGATTGGATGGAAAATGGTTAGGGCCTTTGGGGTGAAAAACAACTGATTCCACTGGAAGTGGGGGCACCGATGGTCATATTCTAGTGGTGACGACATGTCTTCAGGCGTGGTTCACTGCAGGGGCGGACCAGACATGGCGCGTATATGCTATACAGTGACAGTAGGTAATGTACGAGTCAGATCGACCAATGAACCACCCCATGTCGGAGAATCCGACGTCACAAGGCCTGGCCGGTTCAACTGACCACTCCGCTCTGGTACGAGTCAAGACCTCGCGGTGGCCTGGTCTGATTGGATTCGTATCCAGCTTGTGACTTCTTGCGCCCCTCTCTCTCAAGACATACTTAAAAGCATCTTGTTACTAGTAGTAATGGCCTCCACCCTAAGTAGCGCTGGCCTCCAACCTACTTGCGATGGCCTCCACCTAATAGCGTCCTTGCTACTCACTTCATCCGTGAACATCCTCTTCCTCACCATGATTTTTCCCAAACAGTTTACTGTTGGGGTTCTACCTTAGAAAGAAAAGAGCTGGCCACACTCACTGGCCGCGCCCCTGAACTCTGTGGCTGGGCTCCGTGGCTGAGCTCTGTGGCTGGGCCTTGTCCTCCTCTTGGCCGCGCCCCTGAACTCTGTCAACTCTGTGGCTGGGCTCTGTGGCTGGGCCTTGTCCTCCTCTTGGCCGCGCCCCTGAACTCTGTCAACTCGACGGCCAGGCTCTGTGGCTGGGCTCTGTGCCTGGGCCTTGTCCTCCTCTTGGCCGCGCCCCTCTGGCTGGGCCTTCTCCTCCTCTTGTCCTCCTCTTGGCCGCGCCCCTGAACTCTCAACTCTATGGCTGGGCTCTGTGTCCAGGCCTTGTCCTCCCAGGCTCTGTCAACTCTGTGGCTGGGCTCTGTGGCTGGGCCTTGTCCTCCTCTTGTTCTCCTCTAACGGAGCCCCTCAACTCTGTGGCTGGGCTTTGTGGCTGGGCCTTGTCCTCCTCTTGTCCTCCTCTTGGCTCTGTCAACTCTCTGGGCTCTGGCCTTGTCCTCCTCTTGGATCGCGGGCTCTGTTTCCAGCCCTTCCCTCGTGTTGTCCTTCTCTTGGCCGCGCCCCTGAACTCTGTCAACTCTGCAGGCTCTGTGTCCAGGCCTTGTCCTCCTCTTCTCCTCCTCTTGGCCGCGCCCCTCAACTCTGTCAACTCTGTGGCTGGGCTGTGCGGCTGAGCTCTGTGTCGGCTCCAGAAAAGCGCGCTCAGAGCGCGTTCTCAGAGAGAAAGATAAACTTAAAGAGAAAGAATGAGAGAGAGAGAGAGAGACAGAAAGAAAGAAAGACAGACAGCAGGGCGAGCGCGCGTGCGCTCATGTGCTATGGACGGCGGGCTCACGCTCCAGAAAGGCGCGCTTAGAGCGCGCTCTGCAGAGAGAAAGACAGAGAAAGATAAACTTAAAGAGAAAGAGAGAGAGAAGAAAGAAAGAAAAGAAAAGAAAGAAAGACAGCAGGGCGAGAGCGCGCGCGCGCTCGTGTGCCATGGACCGCGCGCTCGAGCGCGCTCTGAAATACGCTGCAGAAAGACGCGCTCAGGGCGCGCTCTACAGAGAGAAAGACAGAGAAAGAGAAACTTAAAGAGAAAGTGAGAGACAGAGAGAGAGAGAGAGAGAGAAAGAGCAGGGCGAGCGCGCGAGCGCGCTCGTGTGCTATGGACGGCTTGCTGGGCCCTGTCCTCTTCTTGTCCTCCTCTTGTCCTTGTCTTGGCCGCGCCCCTGAACTCTGTGGCTGGTCTCTGTGGCCCGGTTTACTGGAGAGGAGTGTGGCCGAACAAATAGCGATGTCAATGCCGACAAAAATTCATTGATGAAGCAGTTTGCTCTTGGGGTGAAAGTAGGGTGTACCAAGAAATCGATTTTTGACTAATATTGGTCGAAGCGAATCGTTTTGAAACTGTTTGGGGTCTATGCTTGTATAACTCCCCAAACAGTTTACTGTTGGGGTTCTATCTTAGAAAGAAAAGAGCTGGCCACACTCACTGGCCGCGCCCCTGAACTCTGTGGCTGGGCTCCGTGGCTGAGCTCTGTGGCTGGGCCTTGTCCTCCTTTTGGCCGCGCCCCTGAACTCTGTCAACTCTGTGGCTGGTCCTTGTCCTCCTCTTGTCCTCCTCTTGGCCGCGCCCCTGAACTCTGTCTACTCTGTGGCTGCCGGGCCTTGTCCTCCTCTTGGCCCCGCTCAACTCTGTGGCTGGGCTCCCTGGCTGGCCTTGTCCTCCTCTTGGCCGCGCCCCTGAATTCTGGGCTCTGTGGCTGGGCTCTGTGGGGCTGGGCTCTGTGGCGCGCGCTCTGACATAGGCTCCAGAAATGCGCGCTCACAGCGCGCTCTACAGAGAGAAAGACAGAGAAAGATAAACTTGAATAGAAAGAGGAGAGAGAGGGAGCGAGAGAGAGAGAAAGAAAGAAAGAAAGAATGAATGAAAGAATGAAAGAAAGCAAGCAAGCAAGAAAGAAAGCAAGCAAGAAAGAAAGAAAGAAAGGAAG